ATTTACATTCCAAATTCCAAGTATTTCATTTTAATTTTCATTCTTCTCTTTATTCTTCTTAAACTTTCTTTTAATTTGGATTGCTTTTAATTTCCTTACAAAAATTTACGGTTTTATCATTGTAATTGCCTGAAATTTGATTGCTTTTCTTTAGATTTTTACATTTACTTTTCAAAGTTCATTTACATTTACGAGTATATGATTTATTTTCATTTTATCATTTAATTTCAATTGCATTTTTAAGTTTCACTTTCGATTACAGCAAACAGTTTATCTTACCAATTTTTGTCAATTACTGTTGTCAATTAAAGATGGTTTGAGTATATCAGAAGCGGTTCCTCCGCGCCTGCCAAAGGTAAAGGCAAAGCGCGGGGCAAGGCGGCGGCTACCGGAACGGCTGCCGCCGGGAAAAAGAAGGAGGTGGCGCTGCCAGCGGACCTCGTTCCAGGTGTTCCTGGGTACGACTGGGTTCGGTGTGAGATGGCGGGGGTCCAAAGCGTTTTTCGGTCCTTTCTTGAGGTTAATGGGATCTTGAAATCGTGCAGGGTTTGTGACCCTTCCATAACCCAGATGATCCGGCTTGAACCTTGTCAGGCTGGTGAGGGTGTGTACATGGGGAAGTCTACCGACACTCCCCACTTCTATATGTACCATTTTTTTTAGGGATTTAGGTGTCTGCCTCCCCTTCACTCAGTTCGAGTGTGATTTTTTGAACTTTGTCAACTCAGCCCCTTGCCAGTTGCACCCCAATAGTTGGGGTTTTTTGAGGGTTTTTCAAGTCCTGTGTTCAGCTTTAGGGATAGAGGTGTCCCTTCCCGTCTTTCTTCATTTTTACCAGTTGAAGATAGGCGTTCCGCCATACGACATACTGTCTCTGTGTGGGAGGAGGGGTGTTGTATATTAATAATGGGGTAGAGGGTGTCACAAGAAACCCTTGATTTATAGAGCAAGACAAAGATTGATGCCAATTGTATGAATATGTGAAATTGAGGTTGAATTTGAGTAATTGATGGTATAATAAAGTAGTATTAGGCTTTAATTGTGATTTTTACCAATTGGTTTGGAGTTTGTAATGTGAGATTTTCACAAATGCAAGTCTTTCATGAACTAGTATCGTGTTGAGCATCAAATGGGCCACATTGGGCATCATTTGACGTTGTTCCAACATCGTTTTGCGCCGAGTGTGACTTCAACCATGCTAGGCACAAGTACTCTTGATAGGCTTTTGTCTTCTCCGTGCTAGGCACAAAAATTGTTACGCCGAGGGTGATAACTTCATAATTAGGTTTTGTGAATGTTAGCTTTCCAATGCCATTGGAATCACCTAAAAAGCATATATAAAACTCAAATTATGATCAAATTAGTGAGCAAAGTGAAACTATCAAATTTAGGCTGAATGTTGAAGTTTCTATTTTTTAAAAATAGTTGATGGAAAAATTAACTCTTGAGGTTAATATAGAATTTTTATATAATTGCCTTAGATTTCTAATAAAATTAAAATCAACTTGTTAGCATATATATAGCTCTAGATAAGGTGTTTGGACCATAGGGTGTCTTGGAAGATTAAGTTATGGAAATGTAGTTTGTAAATGGTGACGATAAATAACCTTACCTTTTAAGTGTTTGATCTTATGAATGGTTTGGGGTAGTATGTCAATGTTTGGGAAGGATAAATATAGGAGAAAAATTGTGAATAAGTAATAACGTAGGTTGATTGTTAACAACTTGAGGTAGTTTGGTGATAGTGATGTCTAACGAGTTAATGCATGATATAAATAATGTTGCTAAACTAGTTAAGTTATTAATTTAAATGCTTAGTGATGTTGATCTCTTAGTGACTATGATTGAGGTATTAACATATGATTAAACAACTTCATAATGATTCTATCTTGAGGTATATTAAATGATGTTGTGTAATTGTTGTGTTTGAATTGTGAGCATGTGTAATCATGGTATTAATTAATGTTGATAACTAGTTTTTGTATGTGAGTATGTTATTCATACGATTGTGAGCTATGTATGAATTGAATGATGTGATCTAACATTGATATTGTTGACGTGTATGGATCCTATGAGGGTCATATGATGAGAAGTTTAAGCGAGACTTAGCCATGATGTGATTAGGAATTGATGTACAATAGTTAAAGTGTGTTATTCTAATGTGATAATGCATTGAGTCCTATTTGAGATACATCATGCACATACTTGTTTTAGATGAGTACGATATGAAATACACTACCAAGGAAGACTCTTTTTTGTAAAAGCTTGGGGATTGGTCATTGAGAACAATAAGATTTGGGAAACCTCGATTTCGTCTATAGTGTGCATGGGGCGGATCTTGCATGACACAACTGTCTTAACAAGACCCTGGTTATATATCCTCAAAATGTAGAGTGCCTTGAGGATGTAATCCGACATGAACTCCTAGACTACACAATGTGTTGTCTTATGGCAATATGCCACGTGATTTGACTGGCGCCACATGTATGAGTATATGCCAAGTCCATTTCATTGTGCATATGAATGAATTAATGTATTATGAATTATATTGAATCTTACTATTGTAAAATAAATTGTGTTATTACTAAGTTATTGTTATGGCTTAATTAATTGCTCATTGTATTGTTGAGTGTGTTTGATTATCCAACTATATTCTATGTTGTGAGCTAGTGTGAGATGTTTTTCACCCCCTATTTCTTGTATTTGTTTTATTTTAATGTTGTTGCATGTGAGATTCATTATGACATTAATGATGCTAATAAGGAGGTCTATTTTTTGCTTTGAGATTTTGCTCTAATAGGATGTGACATCAAGACTTAGTTAGAATTGACTTTCTTTTATTATGCTTTTAGGACAATTGCTATTTTGATGTACTAAATTTCATTTGAACTTCAATTGGTTTTGTTTTGCTAAAATATGATATTCTCTTATTGGATGGTTGATTTTTCATTTATGAGAGATTCAATTTCATTTAATTTATGTATTATGGTATGTAAGATAAAGGATGTCACAGATAAAGTCAACAATTTTTTAAAAAATTTGAAAACTATTTAATATTACATTATATAGATTCAAGTCAACCTATAAAATATTTTTATGATTATCCGTCAATTTGAATTAATGCAACAAAATATCAAACAATTTTTAAAGAACTTTTAATTTAACGATTGAATCAATGAAATTTAATATAGAACATGTGTTATTGAGTGAAATAAATTTACTGAGAATTACTCTTGTAGTAAGTAGTTCCTTTCCTTTATATATATATATATATATATAAATAAAGAGAAAAAAGGGATTCACTTACTTTTCTCATAATTCATGTTTTACATTAAATTTCAATGATCTAGTTGTTGCATAATTTTTTTAACGCATAAATCAAGTTTACAAATTTCTAAAAAAATTGGAAACTATTTGATGCTTTGTTCCATTAATTCAAATTGACAGATAATCATAAAAATATTTTATACGTTAATTTGAATATATATAACAAAATATCATATAATTTTCATTTTTTTTTTAAATTTATAGACTTGCTCTATATGTTAAGAATGTATAATTTAACAGTCAAGTTGTTATAATTTGATGTATAATATGAGTTATTGAGTGAAATAAGTAGATATTTCAAACACATTTTTTAACACACTTTCATCGGTTATAATTTATTGAAAATAACAAAATTAAGAGAGTCATTAAATATGATGTAAGATCTATCAAATTTTGTTCTTTCAATAAAATTTTATCAATCAAAAATGTATTATTATCATTAAGTCAACGATACACCAAAAATAATATACTAAAATATATAATTTGTAATTATATAATTAGTAGTAATTAAGGAGATCTAATTTAATTGCTCCCCCTTGATAAATGAACTCAATCTCGCATATTCAAAACAAAGCTACTTCACTTTAACATGCCATCACCAATTTTCTCATTCAATTGTCATATTAAAAAGTCTCAACATCCATTAATCATAAGATAATAATTAATTTTTTTTTCGAGTGATAATTTAAATAAGCAGCATTTTGGAAATTAAATAATAATAAAATATCACTTCGTGTGAAGTTGCTTGTGACATCCCACCACGTTGTGTCACGATCAATAGAGTAAAACCCAAAAACCCTTTCACCTTCTCACCGTAAAAATTAAAGCCATAGCGGTAAAGTCACAATCGCGTGTACCCCACGTAAACTCGCACCGAATATCACAAAGATCCTTCGATTCTCTGCGCTCACGCTCACCCTACACCCTCATCTTTTACCGTTCATTTTCGTCCCCCACTTTCTTTCAACTTGTACGGTCCAGATCTTCTCTCTCATTCACTCACCTATATATAAATATCGTTCACACATTTCTCTTCTCTTTCACTCGGCGAAATCTGAAGAAGCAACAGCAGCAGCTGCTGAAGTTGAAGCTCAATCCCTTGCGTTAATGGCGGATTGTTAGATTCAATTCGATTTGATTTTTCGACCCGCTTATCGATCCCTTAATCTTCTGCGAACAGGTAAAACCTCGGGTTTTGATCGTGAATTTCGTAAGTTTTGTTCTTTTTATGAATGGAAATTCTGGGTAGTTGTCCAAGATTTGTGTCGTGAATTGTTTTTCTGCGGATTTGAGGTGTGTGATCTTTCATGGTGTTTGAGTTGGATGCAGATCGAGGGCGTGTTCTATTCGGTTTCAGCTGAATTTCGGATTGGAGGATCTCTGGGAGCGATTAAGGGGAAATTTTCGGGGTGAGGTTATTGATTGTGGTTTTTATATGCATGATTTTATTTTATTTATTTATTTATTCTTTTATGTTCTGGCAAGTGTTGATACTTGATAACCATTTTGTTGTTATTGGGTTGGATCTTATGGATATGATGGTGGTGATTGAAAATTTAATGATGACCTGGCGTTATTGCCATGTTGGATCTTATGGAGTGGTTGGGAATTATATTTTCTTAACTGCTTTATTAAGTTTGGTAGGTTTTATCCCCTGTTGCAAATGCATTATGATGATCTAAAAATCTTGTTGATTTTTGTGAACCATTTAATTTAACATATTAAATAGTGCTTGGATATTAGGTATTGCCGTTGTTATCAAAGGATTTCAGCTTAAGTTTTGTTTTTTCTTTTCTTTTGTTTCTTGCTTAGGGGTCATCACTCGTTAATTTTTTGTTATATATCCTTTTTTCTTTGTTAGGAGTTAGGACTTAGGAGTAGATAACTTTGATCAGTTGATATGAAGGATAGAATCAAATTGTACTGCCGGAAGCATGAGAATATAAATTCTGTCATATGCATAGTGTAATGATTTGATTTTGTATCTTTACATTGTTCTTTAGTTAGAGAATATGTGTTCTTCATGATGTGGAAATTATGGCTTATATATTAATTTACATATGCAGCATTCTGTTGTGTTTTGCCTAAAAAATGTGGAGATTTAAGCCATTCATGCACAAAGAGCAGACTGGCCTTGAAGGTCGTAGCGTAGATGTTGGCAATCTTAAAATACATGTTGTTAAGGCCATTGCTGAAGGAGGGTTCTCTTCTGTCTACCTAGCTCGTGATGCTGTACATATGTCAAAGCAATATGCTTTGAAGCACATAATATGCAATGATGAAGAATCACTTGGATTGGTAAAGAAGGAGATATCTGTGATGAAGATGCTGGTAGGACATCCCAATGTTGTCACACTTCATGCACATACTATCTTTGATATGGGTAGGACAAAAGAGGCATTCCTTGTGATGGAATTTTGTGAGAGGTCTCTGGTTAGTGTGTTGGAGAGTCGAGGAGCTGGTTATTTTGATGAAAAACAGGTTCTTTTGATCTTCAGGGATGTGTGTAATGCAGTTTTTGCCATGCACTGCCAGTCCCCTCCTATTGCACACCGGTAACAACACCAGCTGAAAATTTTAATGGCTGTCAAAATTTGTGATCTCTCTATAAATTATTTTACATCCTTTAATTTTATTATTTGCATCCAATCTGTTGATAAGTATGAAGGGTTATGTTCGCATTTTATTTTTTCCAAAAATTTGTTCCATAACGAAAATTCTATGTTGCCTGTCTATCCTCATACATGACTGCTTCAGCATCATTGTTTGCTAATTTTATTTTTCATTTGTAGGTGCTAGATAGTATGCCCATGGTCTTATGCTTCATATTATATTTACTTTTAATGAAATGATATTTACATCTTCACACATGCACAGTCATTATGTTCTGTTTTTCTTAAGATCCTAAATTTTTCACAAGTGATGAATATGTTTATTCAACTATTCCATTTTGTAAGACTGAATTTTTTATTAGACATCATTGAAAAAGTTTGACAATATCAAATGGAAACATATAAGGTGCTGTCTTTATTATTAATAGATTGTTTTCTTTTATTTTCCTTTGTGTTTCCTAGAGACTTGAAAGCAGAGAATCTTTTATTAAGTTCAGATGGCGTATGGAAGTTATGTGATTTTGGAAGCACTTCCACCAACCACAAACGTTTTGAGAAGCCAGAAGAAATGGGAATTGAGGAAGACAATATCAGGAAGTACACAACCCCTGCCTACAGGGCCCCTGAGGTAAGTTGAGATTTGTCTTCTCTTAATAAAATTAGGCTCACCACTGAAGGTTGTGGTGAAAGCAACACAGCCTATGCCAACTTATGGGAGTGCCTGGGTTCTATTCATGGATTGGCCATGTAGTGGACAAGTTTGATATGGGTTCTTTCTGGGATTAAAGTGTATCCCTATTTTGCTGGACAACAATGCTAATAGTGTTGAAGTGTATCCCTATTTCCCTGGACAACACTGCTAAAGTGTATCACCCTAGAACCCCATTTTTGTATCCAAAAATTTATGATCATATGATACAAATGTTCACTTTTATTTTCTTTTGTGCATTTTAGATGTGGGATCTGTTCCTGAGAGAAGTCATTAGTGAGAAGGTGGACATATGGGTAAGTCATGCATACCTGGAACTTATCTTCTTAATTATTTAATATTTGCCAAATCTTTCTTTACTTATTGAGGGATCATATTCCTGGTTGGACATTTAGGCTCTTGGATGTCTTCTTTTTCGCATATGCTACTTCAAAAGTGCTTTTGATGGGGAATCAAAGCTCCAAGTCTTGAACGGAAACTACCGCATTCCAGATTTACCAAAATACAGTTCATCTATCATGGACTTGATAAGAGACATGCTCCAAGCTAGACCAGATGACAGACCAGATATCACGCAGGCAAGCGCTTTGCTTGATTGGCCATTCATCTCCATCAGTTTAGGTTGGTCATAGATCATCCATCAACAGCATTAGCAGGTGCTAGCATTAGGGCAATCAATTACTGACTTTGGGTTTTCTACCATGGTGCAGGTGTGGTTTCGTGTTAATGAGCAACTACCTATTAATTTACAGAAGTCATTACCTGACAGACCACCTGAATCGCCCTCATCCAACAGTCATGAAGGTGATGCAAAATGTTACCCACCTACCCTTGATGTGAATTAAAGAACGAAATCTCTTTGCAGAAGATTGCAGTTGTATATAAAATTTGCCCTCTAAATATTGTCTGAGAAAATTGATTTGTTGCTAAATTTTGGCAGGTGTGCCATTGTCCTCAAACAGATCACCTCCAATGCCTCGGAGGAACCCACCTCCTCCACCTTCATCTGGAGAACCCAAAACTACACCACAGCCATCCCATGCTTCTAGGGGAGGGGGAAGTGGGGGGCAGCTTGGTGTTTTCTGGTCCACACAGCATGCAAAGGACTCACTTGTCCCTGAGGATAAGAGCAAACCAATTTTTGATGAAGAACCTTCTAGCCATCATGTGTCATTGAAAAATGATAGAGTTCGCCCCGAAAGCGATCAATTGCCCAAAAATGTTGGTACTAACAAAGTGGTTACACAAACTCATCCTGTGAAAAGCAGTACACAAGGAAAATTACACAAGCCTGATACTGTACCCTCCAAGGATTTTGAATTAAATTTCTTTCAGGATAAAGATTGTGTGGGTGAGAGACAAAAGTCTAGTATGGAGAATAATGCTAACTTTCAAAACCAGGCTTTTAATACTTTTGTTGCTGAATTTGATACCGCCAAGCTCAACTCTGGACTTGGTGACAAACCCGAAAGGGAACAAGCATTAGAGGCTGAGGTGGAGAAACTGAAAGAGCAGCTGAAGGAAGCTAACTTGGAAAAAGCTGAAATTACTTCAAAGTATGAAAAGCTTACTGCTATCTGCCGATCACAAAGGCAAGAATTACAGGATCTCAAGCAAGCACTTGCAGCTAGGACTCCTTCACCAAGTAGAGAGGGTTTGAAAACCCCTCCTGCTGTTACATCATCTGCATCTGCGGTAATAACCATTTTTCTAGTTTTCTTCCCAGTTTATTTTCCTTGCCGATTTTGTTTAGCTTGTTTGTGACACATGGTTATATTATATGTGTTTTATTGCAACTGCAGAGAGAGAAGATTGCTGGGGATAGAACTGAATGGAAAACTCCCAGTTCAGAACCAAAGTCATGGCAAGCTTTTCCAGTGGAACCCCAACAACAAAAATCCCTTTCAGCAGAAAATACCGCCAAATCGGTCAGGTCAAAAAATGGTCAGCAGAACAAGCAACCTGTTCCTCCTGCTACAAATTTTGATTCATGGGGTTTTGGGACAGATAGCTTCAGTGCTATAGCTGCTGGCAGCCAGCAGATTCAAAGACCTGCTGAAGGGAGCAAGTCTCAGGCTTTTGGTGAGGCCAAGGCCTTTGAGAGCAAGCCAACTTCTCAACCAGCTGGTTGGGCTGGTTTTTAACCAAGGAAAAGTTCTAAAGGATCTATACTTGTGATTGCAGTGAGATATTTGTTTTTTGCGCCAACATGGAGAAGTAAAATGAATGCAAGCTTATTATATAATCCTGTATGTTAAATTCATGCGGTTGAGTTTGTTTCCTTTTGTGGATCATGCTTCCAAATGGTACATGTTTCTTTGGACCAAAACCATTATTGAGTGACGCTATTCATTTCCATTTTGCAAGATTGTTGCATCGCTTTTTTAATTCTATATATTTGTGTTGATTGGCAAGGGTCTGAGTGGACCTCCACCCTCATGTACACCATATACTCGCTCAGAATTCATTGCCTGAATTTAAACATTTTCTGGTACAAAGTTGGACGAGTGGTTGCAGTGCACTAATGCTACGTTAACGTGTTTTAATTTATGTTGCATCGGGAATTGAAAAGAATTATAAAATTCTCGAGTTAAGAAATTGCGAGGGGGAGTCTCAAGAAAAAAAGGGAAAATTCTTCTGCATGTCATTTAGCGAATATGGTATTTGTACTGCATTTAAGTGAATTCTAATTAGTTTCTTCAAAATCAATATTGGTTGGTTTGTAGCTGCTTGTATACGCAGCATGCATGGCATACAATGAAGTTTAAAACTAAAAAAAAAAATGTAATGGAAATGCTAAGGATAGATCACACCTGTTGGCAACAAGAATGGTTATCTAAACCAACTTCTCCACTTGAAACATGTAATACATACATGTCAAAATATGTTTTTTTGCTGTTATATAAGTTATTTTAATTAAAATATAAATAATTCATATGATTCAATTAGGTATGGTAATCTTTAATTCGAGATTTATAACATTGTTTTTAAGTATAATACAAACATAATTAAATGCTTAATCAGTTTAATTACAAAGTTTAATAGATATGACAATTATCGAAATCTATGTCAAATAATATTGTGTGGAAGTGTTTATTTATTTATTACCACTAATCTTTCTACATGGATAGTGCTATGACGCATTTAAAGACTCAAATCTTAACAATTGTTAATGGTTCTAATGACATGATGATAATATTCATGGTACATTAACAATGTTTATAGTTAATGTAAATGGAAGTTTCTTTGTTAATCTAGGTTGAGCTGATTTTGATAACACGGTTCATGATTCATTGGGTACTTGTTTATGTGACTATTTAAGTAATTACAAGTTTGCAACAAATTCTATAGTTGAGCTCTATACAATTTATTATGAACTCAAAGTAATATAAATGTAGGTTATATGCATGTAATTTGCGAGATTGATTTATTTATCTCGCTTGAACCCACTTTTTCATAAAGTCAAGGTTTATCATCTGTATGCTAGCAATTGTTACCGTTATACATTCCTTCGTGCAGTTTTTTGGGACCTTTCCTTGTAACACGCCTTGAAACTAGACAACTATGTTGCAGACTAGTAAGCTGAAAAGAGAGTTAATTTTTGTTTCTCCTTTTCATTTTTAGATGTGTGCTTACCAACTTTCATATCTTCTGTTCTAATAGGTGTTATGGACACTTTATTCATTAGACCTTAATTATTATTTTATTTTTATTCTTTTATTTTATTTTATTTTTTTTTACATTTCATAGTAATAATAAAGAAAATAGTTTAGAAAAACATTTTCTAGAAGATATGATTAATTATTTAATTTTTATATTGAAGTCAATTTTATTATTTTATTTTCAAACTTAGTATTTTCTATTTAGAAAGAAAATAAAATATGCAACGACTATATAAAATATTTTATTATGTAATTGATAGATAGAAATCACTCATAACTTTGTTGACTTTGATAATAACTATTTATTAAATCATACGAAATATGACTTTTAATCCGTGAACATTAATAATTAATAATATATATACATATTAAACTCCTATTTAAATGTCACATGCATTACACGAGTGAAAACTAATTATAAACAAATTATATATGGACATTTAAGTATAATATAAACATAATAATTAAAAGAAAAAATATTTAAGTAAAATAGTATAGGCTTTAAATGCATTTTTAATCTCTCAAATTTTATAGTTGTATGATTTTAGTCGCTCAAATTTTAATTGAACAATTTTAATGTCTAAAGTATCGCGATTATGTGACCTTGATTTCTCAATTTTTAATTTAGAAGTTTTAATTCCTCCAAGTATGGTACTTATGCGATTTTAGTCTCTCCTATTGATGGAAACACTTTCAAGAGATTGGAAGATGAAGTTCTTTAGTTGTTTCCTTTCCCTTGATCTTTCTAACCCCTTTCCAGATTATATATATTATCTAAATTAATTATTTAAAAATTAATAATAATAATTTAATAAATAATGAATAGAAAAGATGTTAAAATAAATGAATAAATTAATTTGAGTTATCAAACAAATATTTCTATTATATAAAAGTCACTAAATATTACAAACCATTTTTTTAATACAAATATCATAACTTAATAAAATAAAACCTCATCCTATACTTTGAATTTTTGTATCTGAACACAATTGCACTTCTGATTCTTCTACATCATAAGGTTTTAGTATCTGGGTTTAAAAGTATTTATGAGGTTAGACATTTGATTTTGTCCATGTCACACACAAATAAATCATACAACCACAAGAGAAGTTCATACAATTATTATACATAATAATTTAATTAGATATTTTACTACTGATAGTTCAAATAATACAATATACTTATGAGATGCATATTTTGACTCAAAATATACTTTTCAAAATCATCTTGGCTCAATACTACATAGAGGTTTTCCCTCTTGAGAGTTCAGAGTCAAAGCTTAGCATCACCCTATCTAATGATTTGGTAATGTTCTACTAAATGTGAATAAGTAGACAATAGTCAGAATGTCAATGCACCCGACAGGCTACCACAACACAAAATCAAATAAAAAACTAGTCATCTATGAGATCGTTCATGCCAAAACTCTCCTTAGACTAAAAGTTTACCCACATTTACTATCATTGACATCGATAACTCAAACATCAATTCCATATTCCACATAATATTTCATTCTCTTTTCACTTTTGGTATCACATCACACTAACAATTGATGATGATCTTCATATGTTCAATATTATGTCTATTGTATGTGTGTGACTATCTGGCCATTTCCTACATCGGTAGTCGGAGTGAGATGTTTCTCACTCCCATTTTCTTTTGTTATTTTTCTTTGTTATGCTTATGCCAATGAATTTAATTATGAAAGACTTTAAGTTTTATGTTGGGAATTTAATTTATCATATGTACTTGATCAGGTTTTAGTATATGTGTCAAGTCTAAGATATATTGTCTTAATTGTGACTCATGGAACACATCATGAAAGTTAAAGGGAAAGGTGATAATGTTATTTGGTAGGCAACATTTTCAACTCAACACAAAATTTGGTAGGTTCAATTAATATATTTAGGGGTAAATTCCTTAGATTTTATAGACCTGCTAGCGATCCAATAACAAGTGTGACTTTAAAAAATACATTATGTCCTTCTTGAACTTCTAAAGATTTTCTCCTTTTATCAACATAACTTTTCTGTCGACTCTTTGCAAATTTTCATTTTTTTCATGAATTATTCTTATCTTATTTGTGGTTTGTTGGATCGCATCTGGCCCTAATAATAAGTTCTCACCATCTTGGTACCAAATTAAAGGTGTTCTACATTTATGTCGATAGAGTGCTTCATAGGGAGTCATACCTATACTAAAATGATAATTGTTATTATGTGTAAATTCTACTAGTAGTAAAATTTCTTTCCAACTATATTTTTTCTTCTTCTAGTGTATAGGATCTCAGAATACCCTCCAGTGACTATATAGTCCTTTCAGTTTGTCCATTAATTTGAGGGTGATAGGATGAATTAAGGTATAATTTACTTCCCAGAGCTTTCTTGAATTCTCTCCAAAATTTAGATACAAACCTAGGATCCTTATTTGATATATACTATGCTAGTTGGTATTTCATGTAACTTAACAATTTTTTTTATGTAAAATTGTGCTAATCTTTCTAGAAAATGCCCAATATATACTAGTATACTATGTGCAATCTTAGTTAATCTACCCACAATTTACCAAACATAATCACAACTCCTAGAGATTTTAGGTAAACCTACTACAAAATCCACAAGTACACTATCATGTTTCCATACTAGGATCTTCAATGGTTGTAACATGCTAGATGGTTTTTGATACTTAATCTTAACTTTTTGTCATGTTAAACAATGTCCCACATTGTCTACTACATCCTTTTTCATTCTAGGATACCAAAAAATTTGTTTCAAGTCTTTATACATTTTAGAAGTTCTTTGCTAAATACTTAATTTACTCCTATGTCCTGTCTCCAAAAATAAATCTTTTATTTCTTTATCATTAGGGACATAAATTTTATAACTAGATCTTTCGATACTATCCCTTTCTAAATTGAAATCTATTCTTATTTGTTCGTATTAATATTTTTCCTTTATTGTATGAATTCACCTTTCTATTGTGTATTCTTAATTTCCTCTAAGAACTCATCATATATAGAATCATTACGAATTGTATTTTATCCTTTTCCTTAATAATATGCAAATTTAAGTATCTAAATAGTTGCATCAATTCCATTTCTTTTATCAGCATAGCTGAAACATGAATGAATTTTCTACTCAAATCATCGACTACTACATTGGTCTATCCTAGATGATATAATAAATGAAAATCATAATCCTTTATAAATTCCACCACCTTCTTTTTCTCATATTCGACTCCTTTTCATCAGATTAATATTTTAACTTGTATGGTCACTATCAAATTTAGATCCATAAATAATGTCTCCAAATTTTTAGGGCAAAAACTATAGTTGCTATTTCTAAATCATGGGTAGGATCATTTGGATATGGTAATACTAATATTGGAGAAAAATTCAATTTGTGTTTTAACTCTTGAAAACTAATCTCAAGTTCTTGACTCCAATTAAAAGGGTGACATTTCTTGGTCAACAATGTTAAAAGTCTTTCTATATTTAAAACTTCTTCAATGGATCATCTAAAGTATTTGGTTAAACCTAGAAAACTTATAACCTCAATTAAAATTTTAGGTTGCTCCAGTTGCATAACAACTTCCACTTTTGAAGGATATGCACTTATTCTTTTCTTTGAAATATCATGTCCTAAAAATTTTACTTCCTCCAATCAAAATTCACACTTAGACAATTTTACTGATAATTGTTTATCCTTTAACGCTTGGAAAACTATCCTTTGGGGTTTGTAAAGCTATTCTTGTTAAGTCATACGAAGACGAAAGCAATTCCCAGCAAAGTTTTGAATGAGACAATATAATACATATTGTTATTACTAACAAGTGTG